TGGCGACGGCTGCTTTGCTCTTTCCCAGGAGTTGGTGGTCTACGACTATGCGGTGGGGCTTCTTGGCAGGGAATCGGCTGGGTTGGTTGTTCGCCGGCGGGGATCCTGCTAAAGTATTCACTTATGCACGTCGGAATAAAACACTCCTTATTTTATGTTTGTTTAATTCAGGAATTCGCGTTTATTTGCGTTCAATGTACTTATTGGTTATAATTCAGCTTTAAGGTTTTTACAAGATTAATTTTCTTTAAAGTGTTCAGTTTTTTTAAAAGGTCTTTTTTCCGCACAAATTGGTTGCCTTTCTGTTCGGGTATCAAAAAAGATGTGTAGTTAAAAAAATGGCTGTGCCGATTGGCACTCGGTATTCAGCAGTTTCAACAAGTGCTGCCAGTAACAAATATTGAGGGATTTTTGAGCATCCATACGTCCAACCACGGCAACCCTTTGCGCTTTGTTTACATTTCTTCTTCGAACAGCTGAATACATATTGCAACTTGAACACATATTGGTGAGTATAAGAATTCAATAGATAAATACAATAGATTCAATTAAATAAACCTTTTTCTTAATTATAGGTTGGAACGTGTGGTTGCTGATCTCGCGTAGACATTCTGCCCCCCTAGGCGAACTAATCGCCTAGTGTCTCCTGTAGTTCTTGTAAAGCGCGCAGCGCTTGCTGCACCAGGAGCTGGCTGACTTTGCCCCGGTAGTTTGCAGTGCGCAAACCTGTTGCTGTGCGTCGTATAGTGCGGTCCTCAACTCCGGATGCCACTAGGTTGCGGCGGTGTACTGGTGGGCTGTTAGTTGCTGCGGGGGTAGACGAACGGTGTCGAGTGCGTGTGGTGTTGACATTGCGAGGTGGACGGGGCCGTTGCGCGCGTGCCTTTTTCTTCGATTGGTGGCGGTTGGATGCTGCGTTAGGTGCTGCGGAGTGCGCTGCCTGGTGGCCACTGTTACGATGGAGGAATGTGTGGTGGTGGAGGCCACAGACACGACATTGCACTGTGGAGGTGCATTCGCTTGTATGGTGCGATAGCGCCAAACAATTGGTGCAATAATTGTGCGCTCTGGCCAGTAGGAAGCGTTGTTGAGGCTGCATAGCCGTGAACACCGGGCACGTCAACAGGGAATGGTATCGCATGCACAGACGGCACCTTCGATAGTCGGTTTGGGTGTCTGCTTTCCGCTGTCCTTCGTGAGGAACATCGGTTGGTGGTATCACGACCCGCGACGACAATGACTTGCGTGGTGCAGGAACAGGAGTGCTTTGTCGGTCCATCTGTGAATAAAGGTGTAATTGAGTAAATCAATGCTTATCAGTGAGACTAGATTGTGGTGTGTGATCAATAAAGAGGTAAACGAACTAAAATGTTCTATTTGGGTGTGGTTCATGTGAGTTATTAGTAGTGAGAAAGTAATTTAACTCAATTGCTCTATTCAGGCGATTGTAAGGGGAGCGGTTCATGTGAGGCGGACGAGCCATAAGTAGGAGCGCAACGAGATTCGGTGTGGCCATCAATGGGTGGCAAGAAGCATAATTTAGTGATTGGTCGAGTGAAAACACCATTCTGTGTGCGCACGTCTACAACTCGGATGTGTCCGTCTCGACCAGGATGCGTCTGCTCGATGCGTCCGAGCCGCCATTCAGTGGGGGGAAGGGTTTCGTCATTGATGACTACCAACTCGCCTATTTTAGGTGGGATTTGAATGGTTTTCCACCGGTACCGCTTTTGAAGGTCTTTCAGGTACTCGTCTTTCCATCGTTGGCTGAATTGATGATGCAAAACCTTTAGTTTCTCCCATCTGTTGATCAAGGAGAGTCTTTCGCAATTCGGTTCTGGGAAGGATAACATTGGAGCGCCTCTAATAAAGTGGCCGGGGGTGATTGCCGTAAAGTCGGTGGGATCTTGGGAAAGTGGGGAGATAGGACGTGAGTTTAAAACGGCCTCGATTCGGATCAACAGGGTGGTGAACTCTTCGAAGGTGAATTTATGTGATCCAGCGGTCTTTTTAAAATGGGTTTTAAAGCTTTTGACAGCGGATTCCCATAAACCGCCCATATGAGGTGCACCAGGTGGTATGAATTTCCAGTTTATGCCCTGAGGCGAGTATTTGTGAACAACGTCATTCGAGACTTCTTTGAGGAAGGTTACAAATTCCCTTTCGGTAGCCCGCTTGGCTCCTATGAAAGTTTTGCCATTGTCACTCATCATTTGGTTTGGGTAGCCGCGGCGCCCAACAAATCGGGCAAAGGCGGCGAGAAACGCATCGCTGGTTAAATCCGAGCACAGCTCAAGGTGCACCGCCTTTGTGGTAAAACACACAAAGACGGCCACATAGCCTTTCATCATGGCGGGAGATCTTAGCATGGAAGCCTTTATTTGAAAAGGCACCAGTGGTGGTGAAGGGCGGAGCGAAGGTGCATCGTTCTGGGGGCAAAGCTGCCATTAATTGCGAGCGCATTTGCTGCTTATGAATTGTGCAAGCCTTGCATAGGAAAATGCATTTTTTCAGAGCGGGTTTGAGCCGGGGAATGTAAAACTCCTGCCTTATCATTTGCTGCATTAGGCGGACTTCTGCGTGTAGGAGCAGTTCGTGAAGAAATCGGATGTACAAAACAGCAAATCGGGATTTCTCGGGGATAATTATTGGATGACGTTCGTTGTAGCTTAGTGTGGAGTGGGCTAGGCGTCCATTGACGCGGAGAAGTCCGTTTTTGTCTAAGAATGGATTGAGTACCAAGAGGGAGCTTCGTTTGTCAATAGGTTTCGAATATTCCAGGCAAGTTCTTTCGCGGACAAAGTAGCGGGTTTGAGTAAGTATGAGGAGGCGAACTTTCGCGCTGTGCAGGTCGGTGTGTGATAAGGACGGGGAGGTAGCGACGTGGGTGCCATTTTTTGCGTCCTTTAGTTTATTGATGAACTTGAGCATGTACGCAGTCACCTTTAGAGCGCGTGAATAGGAGGAAAAACGATCTAATAGGTCGGCATCTTCTTCGACAGCATGCAATGCCTCCACCCGGCGTACCTCAGGCGGGTTGATATTCCTCGTGGCCGGGACTGGCCACTCCTCGGGGGGTTTGGACAGCCACTCCGGGCCGTTCCACCACAGCGAAGAATTGGACAGGTCAAGGGGTTTGCAACCTCGGGTACCCATATCAGCGGGATTATCCTTACTGCGGACATGTCGCCAAGTAGCGTTGCCTACTAGATCGATGATCTGCGCTGTTCGATTGGAGACATACGTTTTCCAGGCGTGAGGTGGCCTTTCAAGCCAAGCCAGTACAATTTCCGAGTCAGACCACATAATCAATTTTCGTTTGGTGAGGTCAAGATGGGGTTGGACTACTGCCGCTAGTTTAGCTAATAAGAGGGCTCCACATAGTTCTAACCGCGGTAAACTTATGGTTTTAAGTGGCGCAACTTTGCTCTTGGACACTAAGAGATGGGAGAAAATTCGGGTACCGACGGTGGTTCGAACATACAAGTTGGCACAATAGGCCTTCTCCGAGGCGTCGCAGAATCCATGTAGTTCGACTTGTTGTTCCGGGATATAATTAATCCATCTTGGTATTTGGATGGCCGAGATTGTGGGTAGATTTTTGGCAAACTGCACCCATTTGGTGAGGCGTATGGGTTTGACCTGCTCATCCCAATCGGTCCCATCAAGCCACAGCTCTTGCATAAGGATTTTGGCTTGTATCATTATGGGCGTCAGCCACCCTGCGGGGTCAAACAATTTTGCGACAGACGACAGTATCTGCCGCTTCGTACTTGCTGTGGAGGCTGAGACGGGCTCAATGGTATATGAGAATTTGTCAGAGAGTGCATTCCATTGAATCCCTAGAGTCTTTGCTGTACTTGTCTTTTCAAATTCGAGAAAATTAGTCTCCAGTAAGTCCGTTTTACTAATATTCTGAAGAATGTGTGGGTGGTTTGCTGTAATTTTTTTCAAGGGGAAACCCGCAGAGTGGAGGGCCTCCATGACCTGGGATAAAGACTGCGTTGCCGATTGGAGGTCATGGCTGCCTGATAAAACATCGTCCACATACGTTTCGGTTTTTAATATGGGTGTTGCTTTGGGATGGGTGAGGGATACGTCTTTGGCAAGCTCGTGAAGAGTACGTATAGCCAAGAAAGGTGCACAATTTACACCAAAGGTGACCGTTTTCAACTTGAAGTCCTTTATTGGACTGTTTTCGGAGGAGCGAAAGATGAGTCTCTGGTAGTCTTGGTCATCAGGGTGCAAGAGTATTTGGCGGTACATTTTTTCAACATCGCCATTGAAAACGTATTTGTAGGTCCGCCAATTTAATAACAAAAGCATCAAGTCGGGTTGGAGAGTTGGTCCGGTGCATAAGATATCGTTGAGTGAATGACCAGAATCTGATTTTTTTGATGCATTAAATACTACCCGAACTTTTGTTGTTCTTTTCTCGGGTTTTATGATGGCGTGGTGAGGGAGGTAAAAGGAATAGTGGGTGCCTTCGGATTCTATTTCAATGGAGTTCGTTTCTTCCATGTGGTCGAGAGTTATGTATTCTTCCAATACGCTGTCATACTGCGATTTCAGGTCTCTTTTCTTAAGCAGGGTTCGTTCCATCCCAAGAAATTGCTGGAGCGCTGCGCGCCGAGATTGGCCTAGAGAGATACTTTCTGGGAATGTTGGCTTCAACGGAAGCCGAACAATGTAACGACCGTCATTTGCACGAGTAGTAGTGGATTTATAGAACTCTTCGCACATTTTATCTTCTGGATTAAGGAGTTGTGTACAGGGAACTTCTTCTAGTTCCCAAAACTTTTTTAATTGGACGTCCAGATGTACATCAACTACCTCTTCGACTCGAGTGGAATACGCTGCTACCTTTTCGGGAATCTGACCACTTAGTATCCAGCCAAATATAGTATTTTGTGCCAGCAAGGTGTGGGAGATTTTTTCGATGCCATCGAGCATTATTCGGGGTATGAGATCACTGCCTAATACGAGATCGATTTGAGAGGGAGAATGGCAGTTTTGGTCGGCTAATTTTAGATGAGACCATTTTTCTATTTCTGCGTTATGCAGGTGGAATTTTGGGAGTAATCTTGTGAGTCGTGGTAATACTATAGCTTTGGCTTTAATTTTTATGTTTTGATCGTTTGAGACTAGAATAAGTGAGCAGAGCTTGTTCGAAGTTTGAACAACTCCTCCTCCCATCCCCGAGATTTCAAAGCTGGAGTGCTGACATGGAAGCCCCAGCATTGTCTGCGCTTTGGCGGAGATGAAACTGCGTTCGGACCCTTGGTCAATTAGCGCTCTTAGCTTGAAGAGGTCACCTCTATGCTCTACTGATACAATGGCGGTGGGAAGGAGTACTTTACTGTCATTTTCAGCATGAAATGATTGTACGTGCGTTATACCTGAGGAAGAGGGATGATTATCTAAGCTTTGTACTTCACTAGCAGGCTGCATAATGGGAATGTTAGACGAAATTGTTGCTACCTGGGACGTCGTTCTTTGTGTTCTGGAACTCTGGGCCGGGGGTGCATTATTGTGAAGCGTTGTGTTGTGACGCTCTGGGCAGTGAAAGCACGTTCTTGTACTTGGGCAATCATTAAGCATGTGGGTTTGGGATAAACAGTTTTCGCAAAGTCTATTTTCTCTCACGAATCTTTTGCGATCTGGGATTGATAGTTTTTTGAATCGAAGGCAACTTTGGAGCGTGTGTGATGAATTTTTGCACATTTTGCAACCATATATTTTTTGTTGCTCCGCCATATGGGAATTTACCTGGCCGAAAGATCTATTGTGATATGTTTGGGGTTGACCAGGTTTGAAAAAGGGCTTATTCTGCTGGGGCGGCGGTCTAGAGACGTTGGTGGTAGGAAGATTTTGTCGGGATTTGGCGGGGCGCCATTGATCCACCCTTTCCACCACTTCATACCGAGTGGTCAGAAACTGGTTCATTTGCGACCAGCTGGGAAGGTCTTTTCGCGAATTCAGGGATTGCTCCCATAAAGCAACAGTATTTTCAGGAAGCTTAGAGGTTACCAGGTAAATTAATATGGGGTCCCAACTTTCTGTCGAGACTTGTTGGGTTGCTAGTATTTGGAGACAGTTGTTCACGGATGACTGCAGTCTTTGGATTTCCTCACTGTTCTCCGTTAGTATGGGTTTTAAATTCATGAGTACTCGGATTTGGTTATCTACAAGAACCCTTTTATTCTCGTATCGGGATCTCAGGGCTTCCCATGCCAAGTCAAAGTTATCGTCGCTGAGTGGGAATTGTTTTACTATCTGACCTGCCTTGCCTTGCGTTTTGTACCGAAGATGGTACAACTTCTGAGCTTTTGAGAGTTTTGGGTGGTTTACGTAGACCGCTGTGAACATGTCACGAAAGGACGGCCATTGTTCATAACCCCCATAAAAAATTTCTGTGTCGCAAGGCGGCACTTTTAGATCCATACCGAAACATTCTTGGGGCTGTGGTGTACTTATTGGAGGTGCGGGTATGATTACTTGCTTAAGAAGTTGGAGCTGGTCACCAATCTGTGCCTTTGTGTCCTCATAAGTGATTAGACAAGATCCATATTTGGCATAGGCTGAGGTTTTAAACTCTTCAGGGAGATCTTGATCATCAGTTTCTACCACCAAGTCATATGCACTCTGGACTCGGTTCCAGAAGTTATCTATGTTTTTGTCTTTGATTGCTAGCCCTGCTTCCGTGTTGTCTTGGATGTGGGTTGAGCGAAAACGAGTGCAATAATCCGAGAAATTGTCAGTTTCCGAAATGAATTTTGTTGACGAGAGTGCTGGCTTGGATTTTTTTACCATCTTGGCAGCCCCACGTGTGGGGCGTTGGGAGTCGGAAGAGGTGCCTTGCATTTTCTCTTCGTCACTGATTTTATTTGCAGGGCTTTTAGACTTATCTTCCCCCTGTGCTGCACCCACCATTTCAAATGCAACTACTCGAAACTTATTTATTTGATTCCGATTTATTTATTATATATATATTTTTTTTGTGTATATGCAAGAGTGAAACCGCTTTTTAGATTGGAGGTTTGTTTGGGGTCTTAACGAAAAACAAGCTTCTACTGTGTGGTGAAATTTATAATTCAAACCCACTATTTGTCCCACTGTAAGATCTTTGTGTGCTTGTGCGTGTGCTACTGGGTAGCACAAATATTTTTAATGTATGTACTATGTATAGGGATTCGCTAATAATTATGTATGTATATGTATGTATGGGTTAGCGTTTTGGCACAGTTAGCCGTTTTTTTTTTTGTGACTGCGACAATTGTATGAACTTTTTTTTTTTTTTTTTCAAAGGCAACAAAAATGGCGCAATTTACCTTCAAGCTAAATATTCCGAGTTAACAAGTTGAAAAACGGTTTTTTCCAACAATAAGTACTGACAATTATCGCAATCTAAAGGGTTAGTAAATTTCGAGCTTTTCTTACTCACGATTTATATGGGTACTTGTACTTATTTTGTATGAGACTACTTGAGCTTCTCGCTTCACTGATTCCTAGACGGGCGACGAAGGACCAAACTGGCGACGGCTGCTTTGCTCTTTCCCAGGAGTTGGTGGTCTACGACTATGCGGTGGGGCTTCTTGGCAGGGAATCGGCTGGGTTGGTTGTTCGCCGGCGGGGATCCTGCTAAAGTATTCACTTATGCACGTCGGAATAAAACACTCCTTATTTTATGTTTGTTTAATTCAGGAATTCGCGTTTATTTGCGTTCAATGTACTTATTGGTTATAATTCAGCTTTAAGGTTTTTACAAGATTAATTTTCTTTAAAGTGTTCAGTTTTTTTAAAAGGTCTTTTTTCCGCACAAATTGGTTGCCTTTCTGTTCGGGTATCAAAAAAGATGTGTAGTTAAAAAAATGGCTGTGCCGATTGGCACTCGGTATTCAGCAGTTTCAACAAGTGCTGCCA